AGGCGGTAAATCATGGCATCTCACTCTGCTTTCCTATCTTTATCTTTTTCAACCATGTGTTCCTTTTCACACCCATGGCCTCACAGGGGCTGGGACCCTCATAACCCCACAGACTGGTGCTGGTGGAGGCCTCCCTCCCATCTCTCACCTCTCGGGGCCTTTGTGCACACCACAGCCAGATGACGCTTCCTAAAATACCACAACTCTGCCAGCCTCCTCAAATTTCTACCTCCCCGTCAAATATTTAACTGGCTCCACACTGTCCCAGATCAAATGCAAACTCCTTAGCTTAGCAACTCCGGCGCTCCCCAACTGACTCCTGGGACTGAGGCACCCCCACTCACTCTGTCTACTCTGTGGCTGGTCTCCAAACTCAAGGCTGACTGTACCCCTGAACTTTGCTTTTGTTCCAGGCAGTGCCTAGAATGGCCTCTCCTTGACTGCACCCCACCCTGTCCTTCTGCCTGGGCAAGGTCTCGCAGGGCTTCACACCCAGCCCCCACCCAAGCTGCCTGTGGGCTGAAGTGGTCTGCAGGGCTTCCTAGAGGAAGTGGAATGCAGGCCAAGCAGACAAGTTCCCCATGCTAATTAAGCCTTTTCTATACTATGTCCTTCCTGCTGCACTCAACTTTTTGGAAGCATCCTGTGTCGCTTTCTGGATTAGAGAACAGGGATTATGGCTATTTGTGTCCCTTACTAACTCCAGTACGCAGAATAAGACATAATAATCATAGCTGCCACCTACTGTGTGCCAAGCACTGGATTAAATGCTTACAATTTTCCCCATCTTTCTCCCGGTATCCCTATAAAATGTTATCCTCATGCTACAGATCAAGAAACTGAGATCGAGGGAGATGAGAACCCCCACTTCAGATCACAAGCTGAGTGGCAGATGCAGGACTCCAACCCACACACGCCCAACTCCAAAGCCCATGTTCCGAGGAGCAGGCAGCAAACAAAGGGCAACCACTCTCAGCTTTCACCACACATTCACTCTCAGGCGACCAGTGCAAGATGTGGGGTGGTTAGCGGGAACCAAAGAGACAAGGGCCCTGCTGTCACGGAGCTCACATGCTCTGTCCCCAGTCCTGACCCTCTTCTTCCAGCCTGGGAAGAACGCAAGGACTCAGTTCACAAGGGGCTCCACCAGGCACAGACAAGGCATCCAAACCGGAGATAGACCGCATCAGGCTGTGACAACACGCAGTGTCCCGTGCACAGGGAGCCTTTATTTGGGGTGAAGTAGAGCCTCGGGCTCTATCAGGGAAGCTCTTCGTTCACGGTTCCCGCTAACCACCCCACACCTTGCACTGGTTCAAGGCCAAGCAAACTCTGGCAGGCAGTCAGGAGTAGAGGAAAGGGGTCTATATCTGGAGTCAGAAAACCCAGTTCCTCCACTTAACAGCTAACAGAGGGACTCACCACATACCCTTTGAACACTGTCTGAATGTGGTGATGAGGATAATAATAATGAGTATATAATTACATGCCAGATGCTGTTGGAAGGACTTCACGCGTACGGTCTCACTTAATCCTCAAAACAAGCCTTATGAGGAGGTCCTGTTATTATCCTAAGGCAGTCTGGCTCTGTGTCCTAACTGCTTATACTGTGCTGCCTCCCTCCAAAGGCTGAGCCGTCCTGGTGGGGCTGAGGCACGGATCCTCCCAGCAGAGCAGAGTTCACGCACGTGGCTGGTGCCCTAAAAACGTACATCTCCACCTCCTTACGTGGAAACACAACTCTCTAAAAGCTTAGGTTTAGAAATGGCATCGCTCTAGCTGGTCCTAATGTGGGTGACCTTGCAACTGCATCCTCTGGCCTTCCACACCCCACTCTCAATGCTGGGATCTGGTGCAAAGAGCAACGGGCCCAGATCCTGTGCTCGGGCCCTTCTGCTCACAGCTTCTGAGACACAGAATGAGTGTCCAGCACAGGAGTCAGAGGGACCTAGCTTTGAGTCCCAGGCACGCCACTCACATGGGTCGCTCAACCTCTCAAGCTTCAGGTTCTGTGTAAGTAAAATGGGGGAGGAGGTATCATCTAAGCCACGTTTCTGGATCACAGTAGATCCTCCATCAGTGGCAGCTACGCAGGTCAGAAGGGCAGGACTCCCACGGCGCCACAAGGTTACACTTCCGGGTACGAGGGCTGCTGGTGCACAGAGGAACAAACAGGCGGTGTGCGATGCAATTCGCTTCCACAGTTATGGCAGCGGGAAGAACAGACACACTCCCAAAGGTCTGGGGGTGAAACCTGGCACAAGCCCCCACTTTCTCTTAAATCTCCTGCCACGTCTCATGCAAATGGCCTCCCCTCCCATCAACAAGGCTCTTCCCCCTTAAGTTTAGGTAAGAGCGACATTCCCCCCGCAACAATGTAAGCTGTGGAGGGATGGACCCTTGTCTTGTTTATCATTGCATCAATATAAAGCTGTGCAGAGAAGACACTTAACATACACAAAATTAACCTTATCCTGTAGCTTCCGGTACCCCTGCTAAGGTGCCTCTGTATTTGCCTATTGGCCAGCATTCCCCAGCCTGGGAAGCAGGAGTCTCGACGGTCTATGTACCTGCCGGGCCCCCATCTCCCTGGGCTGTCAGTCACGGGTCCTCTTCTGGAAGTCCAAGCAGCATTGGACTTCCGAGTTATAAATAGGAATATCTGCTTTCAAACTATAATTTATCATCTCAATCTCAAGCTATCGATTGTTGGCTACCTTCTTCAAGCATTCCACCGAAAAGGCTAATTGAGTTTAAACGAACCGGGCTGTATGTAGTGTGGGGTCTGGGCTGAACGGGTCTCTCATCCACACCAGGAGCCCAGCCAAGATGCATTAGTGTCAACTAAATTGTTTCACCTTGCAACAATATGACAGGCTTCTCCTATCAGCTCCTGTCAGGCAAAACCATCTGTGAGCTGGAGCACAACTCCTGAGGGGGTCCACCCGTCCTTTCACCACTACAGCTCCACCAGCTGGCACGGGACTCAGAACTCTTAAGTTAGATCACTCACTGGGCGCCTGGGTGGCTCAGTTGATTAAGCGACTGCCTTCGGCTCAGGTCATGATCCTGGAGTCCCGGGACCGAGTCCCACATCAGGCTCCCTGCTTAGCAGGGAGTCTGCTTCTCCCTCTGACCCTCTCCCCTCTTGTGCTCTCTCTCTCTCACTCTCTCTCTCTCTCAAATAAATAAATAAAATCTTAAAAAAAAAAGTTAGAACACTCATTCCCGAGTTAGAAGCTACAGCTGTGTAAGGAAAAGTGCTCTGAAACTGTAAAGAGTTTACAGCGGTAAGACTGTTACCTACTAAGGGAATGCAGGCAAATAAATTTCATTTGCCTGTGCACTTAACTGAAGCCAACAAAAATCATGGAATTTACTCCAAAGTCCAACACATTTTAGATTCTCAAACTGCTATTTCCCTCCATGGATAACGGAGAGCTAGCTGTTTTCTCTACCATCAAACCTACTGAAAATAAAAACCACACTGGCCTTAACTCATTTACCTACCGTACAACCCCACACCACCACTCGTGTCCCAGCGCAACTGTCTAGTCTGGATTATTAGAGTATCCATGTAAGGGATCAATTTGACAATAAGCAGTCAGAAATTACTTACAAGCATAGGGGATACTAAGAACAAGTTACTGAGAGAACAAGTATGAAAATCAAAGCGGCTGAGTTCACGGACATATAGACACCCCAAAAAAGAGCACTCCAAGCCATTTCCTTCAGTGTCAGGTGATGCTCTAGGCCCCAGGGGTGCAACCATGGAAAACCCAAGAGAAAACCCCCTGCCCTCAACAAGCTCATGCCCTGGCCCAGAGCCAGATATGCCTCTACCACCATCTGACTATTGCACTGCTAGGACCCAGAACACAACCAATAGTCAGTAAACGCGGCTTCTCCCTTGCCATCCCTGAGTACCCCATTATTCTGTTTTCTAAACAGTGTCCTTTCTATCTTCCGCCATAGAAGCAGCCTGGGACAGTGGGGAGGATGGAGGTTAGAGCCTGCCAGATGTGCTTTCACCGACCGAGCAACACCTTAAGTTACTCCATGTCCTAAGCAGCAGCTTCACCTGTAAAAGGACAGCAACTATCTCCAAGGGTTCTATGCGGGTTAAAGGAGCTCATTACAGGTGGACTGCTCAGCATGGTGCCAGGCACCCAGCAGTCCTCAAGAAATGTTAGACCTTTTCCTCCATCCCTTCCACAGTTTTCAGACTGTCCAAATAAAACCCAAATACAGGAGTCCTGAGAAGCATAATATGTCACTGTCCTCCTCCTGGGTCATGATGGGCATTTCCCATTACCTTTGGAGAATCAGGATTAAGCCAAGATGCCCCTCCCTGCCAGATATGCTGCCCTAAGCAGCTCCACCTGGCCACTGGACCCACATTCCCCTGCTTTTGCCCTAAGATCAAATTTATAAAACCTCATTCCACTTTCACAGTTCACACCCAAAACTGTCCTGGAGTACTTCCTCATCCAGGCCTGGGGTGGGGCCACCTCCAGACAACACAAACATTGAAGAAGTCCAATAGCATTAAAAATGGCATAAGCCACATTTTAAATCAATATGCAGGAAGGCAGCAAGAAAAAACAGCCACTCTTAATTAGTCATCCTGGTTCAGCAGCCACAACACTTCATTAAACAAGAAACTGAGATCCTCAAAACACTTCGGGGCCCAAAGTTCACACGCAAGCACTTGCCAGCACTGAGCAGAAAGAGCAGGTGGATGGCCTGAGCTCGGTTAGCCCATCTCCAAAGGTTCCTTGACCATGTAAGGCAGAAGCCCTCTGGCCCTTCCAATCTGGGTAGTGAGCCTATCCTGCAGAAGGCTGTGAAGTGGAGGTAAGTGAACTTGTGGAGGCCTAGGTGAAACCTCAAGCCATGCAGAGAACCTAGAGCACAGGCCGTCATTATCAAAACACCACAAGCGGAACTAGCTGGCTCGCTCGCTCTCTCATGCTCTCTCTCCTCGGAATCTGGCTCACCTGATCCGAGGCACCTCCATAATCAGCAGTTCCAACCCTCACGAGCTGACAGTTCAGGGGGAAAGGGAGGCTGCGCCTGCTGGGGTGCATTGTGTCCAGGCCCTATGTTGGCCTCGCGGCCCAGCGGCCCCCCCAAGGGCTGCAGCCTCACAAGGGCGATTGTGCGTTCATTCCTGTCCTGTCGGCTCCCCCCACCCTCAACTCTCGGCTCCCACTCAGGCCCCGGCACGACGCCCCGCAGGCACCGCACCCTCGGCAAGGAGGCAGCGGCCGCGGAAAGGGCCTGCAGAGCGCCGCGCTGCCTTCCTGCCTTCCGGGCACACAGGTGCCCGCCCTTCCCTCGCTCGCTTCAGGCGGCCTCCCCAAGAGGAGGCAACCCTCCACCTGCGAAGGCACAGCCCCGGGACCACCCTCCTCCTCCCCCGGGCAGGAGAGCTCCCCTCGCTTCCCAGAGGCGGCAAAGGTTCTCCCCGGATAGAGGGGAGGGACCACACAGGTCGGAGGCAGGGCAGAGAGCAGGGCCCTGGAAGGAGGGTAGAGCCCGGGACCTAGGGGGGCTGACGCAGGCTACACTAAGAGCGGTGAGAAGTCTGAGGAAGTGGATGGCGGGGTTAACGTCCAGGCCAGGGCCGCGGGCGGAGGAAGGGAGGTCCAGACCAAGGCCAAGGAGGGAAGAGAAGATTCAAGCTGAAGCCACGGAAGAGCGGGGAAACAAATCTAGACTGAGGCCACTGGAGTAGGGGCTGACTGGGGTCCAGACTGAAACCATGGAGAAGAAACGGAGAGGAACAGAGGCCTAACCCGAAACGCAGGGAGGGGAGCCCAGCCTGGGCCACGGGAGGGAGAAACGACGGCCTACGCCGGCCGTGGGGACGGGGAAAGGGGACCTGGCCCGGGCCGTGAGCAGGAGGAAGGGGGACCGCCCCCTGGGTGAGCGGAGGGGGTGCCTGGCATGGACCACCGGTCCAGGGGGGTCTAGCCTGGGCTATAGGAGAGACTACCCTGACCGACTGGCGGAGAGTGGGACTCCAGCTTGAGCCAAGGGCGGGGGCTGGGAGAGGGAGGCAGGGCCGCTGCACAGCCCAGCGGCCCGTGCCGGCAGCCCCCTCCTGAGACGGCAGCGAAGGTGTCCACCTGGGTCCGGGACCCCACCCCTCCCCCACCCGGGGGACCCACCCTTGCCCGGGCCCGGGGCTAGGGGTGGGAGGAGGCGGGGACAAGGGAGACGCGAGCTCCGGCGGGGCTCCCCGGCCTGGGAGAGAGTGACGTCGGGCCTTTACCATGGTGGCGGCGGCGGCGGCGGTCCCGGTCCCGGCGTCTGTGGCTCTCCCCCCCGCAGCAGGGCCCGGCGCTTCCACTTCCCCGGGTGCCCAGGAGTGAACATCCGGGTCAGCGCCCCCCTCCCCCCGCGCCGGGCCGCCGCCACCTTCCTTCCCCGCCCCGGCCGGGCCCGGGCCCGCCCCCACGCACCCGGTTCTCGGCCAATGAGCGCGCAAGGCCGCGGCGATCGCCAAGTATGGAGCGCCGCGCGGGGGGAGGAGCTCCGAAGGGGGAAGTGTGGGGCGGGGCCTGCAAGCGGGCGGGGCGGGGCGCAGCGGCCGGAGGGGTGGGCGGGCCGGCCCGGGACGCGAGGACTGGTCGGGGAGGGGGGGGGCTTCCGCCCGCACCCACGCCCCACCTCGGGTCCTGGGGCTGCAGAGGCCTGGGCGGCTGCGGGACCGTGCGCGCGGACGTCCCGGGCGCGGACGCGGAAGGCTCCGAGGCTGGGAGGGGTCAGGCCCTGCCCTCCCCGCCCGGTGCACGCGCGCTCTCCCGCGCGGACCCGGAACTGGTGCTGCCACGGGGCGGGCGCATCCCGGAGAGAGCGGCAGCGCGAACCCGAGGTGGGGTCCCGGCGCTGCCGCTTGCTACGTGGAGGACCGGGAGCAAGTCGCCGCACCTGAGTCCCATCTCTAAAAAAGGCGTCTCGGGCCACACCACGCACTGAGCAGCCACTATATACCAGGCCTTGCTGGAGGCACCGAAAGAAAGCAGAGGTGCGCAAGACGGGAAGATGCCCCCAGAGCTACCTGCTGCAGGATAGCTGTGTGGCTCGCACAGGTAGAGATTAGAAAACTGGACCAATAAATGCTAGGCGTTTGCGAGATGTGCTACAGAGAAGCAGCCCATTTGCCCGGTGGGGCTGCCTCACTCCACAGAGTGACTTTTTTTTTTTTTTTTCCTTTTTCCTCTCTCACTCTCTCCATTCAACAAATAGCCGTTGAGCTTGGTCTAGAAGGCAGGAGAACTGGGATTTTAGCCTTGCTGGTAATACCTGCCCTGCCTGGCTTGTTCACTCTTCTTTTGTGAGAATCAAATCAGGTCACCTGTGAGGGGATTGTAAACTGTAAAGGGTTGCACAAATGGCAGAATTATGGCCACACACCCGTGTCCTAGGCCCCCCCATCCTCATTTAAATAAAAGCTGCCAGGGGCATAAAAATCGATACAAGTAAGTGTTTAAGGCTTGTGTTATCGGAATTCAGAGAAGAGAGTGGCACTTAGGAATTCTTGCACTTGGTAAACATTTATTGAGCACCTGCTGTGTCCTGAGCACTCTTCTGGGCTCTAAGGATAGAGCAGTGAATTTGACAGTCCCAGTGCATGCTTTTGCAGAGCTTGAACTGTTGGAGGGGAGACCATCAGCTATGAAGTAAACATAGTGTCAGGTGGTGATTAGAGATGTGGAGGAAACTCACAGTGAGGGAATTGGCAGGCAGATTAGGGAAGTGGGGCCCCCGGGAGGCTAATTTAGAAAGTAACATTTGATCAGAGGAAGGACAAGAACCAGCAAGGGCACAGACCCAATGGGGACAGTCCCTGGTGTGTTCATGGGTAATAGCTGCAGAGGGGGGCAAGGGAAAATCCCATTCTGGATATTGGCTGATGGCTTGGTGGTGGGTGCGAGAAGGAAGGAGTCAGGCATGATGCTAAGATGTTTAGCTTGATCAACACCGAAAAGATTTGCCATTTATTGGTCTATGGAAGATTGTAGGAGAAGCAGGGTCTGGTTTGGTTTTGTTTGGGTGGGGGAGGATAAGAGTCAGTTTGGGGCAAGTTCTCTGACATGCCTATTGGAGGTTCAAATGGAAATGTCTAGTAAGTAATCAGACATGGAAGTCTATAGCTGGGGAAGAGGTTGGAGTTGCTATAAGAACTGTCAGCTAATAAATGCTATTTTAAGGTACTTAAGGCACAAGATATCTAGGTGAGTTGACTTAGGAGATGAATTTAGAGAGAAGAGGTAAAGGTGGTAAAGAGGAACCAGCAAGGAGACGGAGAAGGTGTGACCTGGGAGGTAGGAGGAGGGCCAAGAGAAGATGGTATCCCTCCTCGAAGGCAGGGGATCAGGGCATGAGGGAAAGGTTTGGGAAAGAAATAACCCCGAACTGTCTGTTTGTAGAAAATAAGATTGACAGGGAACCTTGCCGTTCAAAATGCATTACCTGTATATTCTCATCTAATCCTCACTGTAACCTTGTAAGGTCAGTACTATTAGTCCCATTTCACAGATGAGGGAACTTAAGTCACTTGCTCGAGATCACTTAACTAATGAGTTCAAAGCCAGCCAAAGCCCACGTTCATAACCCTAGGTCTGATCCCATTGTTTCCCTGCACGGAGTCCCTGCCCCTGCTCTGAAAGTTAAGTTATATTATAGAAGAGGGCAGGCTACACCATCTCTCTCATGCAGCCCCACTTCTGCTTCTTTGGATGTATCTGCTATGTTCCTTCTTTGCGGTCCTTCATCCTCAGCTTGCTTATAGCACTGTTCCCTCAACATTTCAGCCTGCTTGGGGTCCAGCCTGGTGGTCTCTGTCCCTCTTTCTCTGCATCAGCTTGCTCTTTTAAATGGCAAATTATTTTTGTGTTTCATAGTTCAAATCCCAACAGAATCCAAGACAGACAAGCACTATAAATATTTTTAGTACAGTTTCTCCTCCCCTCCTCTTTCAAAAACCCAACCCCCCTTGAAGTCCATGCTATGGTATTTTCCACCTGCCACCCCTCCTTTTTGCTCTCAGGAACTAACCTCCTCCCCTCCAGTACCTTTTTTTATGACTTCAGCATCCATATGCATAATCCATCAGAAATAGTATTGACTCCCCACTGATTTCTTCCCTACCAATGAGTTTTTCCTTCCTTCCACCCTGGGTATCCACTCCCACGGTCTTAACCTGGACTTGCTCTAACCCAAAATTGCACTGTCTCAGAAAACTCCATCTCAAATATCTCCAGTCTGACTTTAACCTCATTACTATAGTACCACATGCAAGCATTTCTTCAACATTGTCAAGCCCTGCTTTGCAGTCCTTTGACCCTGCCACATCCTTGTATTTATCCTCCCTCTCATGCTCACTTCCCTCCTCACCCCTTAGTAATGATCACTACACTCACTTCCTTGCAAAAACCACTAACCCTTTGCCCCTCTCTTTTCCTCTAACTTGTGCAAACCTAGTTAAGCCCCGCTAGTCCCCTACACTCTGCCTGCATCAGAACATCTGAACATCGCTGGTAAATGGAAGGTGACCGGTGTCACTTAATTTGATGTCCACAGATTTCAAATGAGCTCTGGCTAGCAATCCTCCTCTACTTCCGCACTGTATTCAGTTCCCCTTGCTACCCTGCAAGGGTGATCTTTCAGTCTTCCGCCCCTGTCCCCGTCTCATGCTTCACTCGAAGCAGATGCGCTTGCCTCATACTTCATAGACATGACAGAATCCATCAGAACCCTCTGCTCTACCACCTGTTGTGCACCTTATGTTCTCCGCCTTCCGGCTTTTGAATGAAGGGTTTGTGCACCTATCAGAGCTGACGCCTCCACTTGCACCCTGGATTCCTCCTTCCTTAAACATCAGTGTCTCCCTCTGTACTGGATCATTCCCTCCTGCTTAACATAACACGCTCCAATATCTTGTATCCTAAAAAAAAAAAAAAGTTTCAGCGACAAAAATCTTGATCCCACGTCTCCCTACAGCCACCTCCCCATTGGTTTGCTCCTCTTCACACCAAAACGTTGTGAGAGTTCTCTGTAGCTGCTGTTCTCACATCAG